AAGAACCATCCGTTTCTTATTTCATTGGAGAGATCTAGATTTTCGATCTCTTTGTATCAGCGGCGAAGCAGCGGAGATTAGTTATTAGAGGTGTAACAGTAAAAGGCGGTGGCGAAACAAAGCTACTACTACAGCTATCATCATCATCATTATTATTATTGCTTGCAGTGATGATTCCACGCTGAGAGATCTAATAATGGTAGTATAGTAGTAGTAGCTGCATGCATCTGAACTAGTTTGACTCGCTCCGATGTGAAACGAACGGGATCCTCGTTTAGATTGCAAACATTGTGTGTACTTTGCGAAATGTTTACACACGCATCATTTTTGAATACTATACTTAATAACTACTACAATAAAAACTAATAATACAGATTTTTTTTTTGTACGTGAATGAAACAATAACGATTCGACCTTTTTCGCTTCGATTTGACATTTCGCGGCTCCCGCGATTTTAATATGTATTTATGTGGACTTTTCCTTCCGCATTTCAAAATACATTCAATATATTTACTGCTCAATTGAAAACACTTTAATTCTATAAAGAAAACATTTTATTTACTTTCAAAAGTACCTTAAATGCTTCCACATTTGAATTTCAAGTTGTTAACCTTTAACCAATTCGTACTGTACCTAAGGTCCGTTGCACTCTACTTAACCGACATTTACCATCTGTTCATGAACTGAATTTTCGAATAATAAATTTTATCGACATTTATTATGTAAAGTCCAGTTATTGGTGTCAAATACATGGTCAAATTGAAATCAGTTACCCTGCACTTCCAACTTGATATGAAGTTTCTATTTCTTTTTTGCAACTTTTGTAAATTAACATTCATAATGTTTACTATTTCCTAATTTTGGAAAGAACGAATTGTATGAAATGCTAAAGTATCTATCAAAAGTTTAAAGTTCAGTTTTGTTTCCTTGTTGTTAACACCATGGAAACATAAACAAGAAATCGTAGTAACGTCTTAGTAGCAATATTTATTGAATATTACAATCATTTTAATTTATATAAATGCTTTAGAATTAATTAATTATAGTAATTTATCTTATTTTTTTTAGTTAATTAAAATGTATTTAATTATGTATTTATCAATTAATAATAATACATTGGTATTTGCCTAATGAAGTATTAGATAAGCAGAGATTGTTTCCTTAAATTAGTCTTAATTGCTAATTATTGTATACTTTCAGAATTAAATTATATCATTGAGTCTTTTTGTACCATTAGGTCATTTAGAGCCTCGGAGACGATTAATTAATAACGAGATATATATAAGTAAACCACAATCTTATATTAAATATTTTTTTTTACTTAATTATTGTATTTTTTTTCCAACGTGTTATTGCAAAAAAAATATATAAATGGACCAAGAACATAGCCCAGAGGAACACCTGGAATTTGAATAAATTAACTCGTTTTAGTTGTAAAATGAATACAATTAGTGTAATTAAATATATTGAGATGTTGTCAAAATGGGGCACTTAGACATTTAGTGCTCCAAGAACATTGTAAAATTTTCATATAATTGGGTAAGAGTTAAGATTAAGTTAGTACTGTATTACAACATGAAAGTACGCTTGTAGACTGTAGTGGTTATTGAAGCTATGACACATTGTTATATTTGAGTTGTTGCAGTTCATTTTTCAAGTAATTAAGTACATATGTAAAATAATATGTTTGGAAGTGCATTTAATTGACGTTTGTAGGATGAGACCTTGTTAGGTTACAGCTCAATTATTGCGGGTTTTCAACGTAAAACTGTAGAGCAGCGTTTCTCAACTTATTGGGCCGCGTAAAATTTTTAATGAGTCACAAAATGACAGCTGTCACCTTATGTCAAAGCGAGGAACTGGTGAAATATTCTTAGGAATTGGGTCGCAGTACAACTACAAACAAAATCGAAATCCCGACATTTGAAATACCGACAATAACAAAATCCCGACAGTATTTTTATTATTTGATATAGACTTATTTATAATAAACTTTAACAATAATAAATAATCTAAAATAAGACAACAAATACATAATAATAATTTGATACTGTCGGAAAATGTTGTAGAAGTTGCAGCAGTAACAACAAATTGTTAATGTTTGTTGATAAGGTTGTGCGAGTATGTTTGAAGTTGGAAAAATATTGCCAGCTGTTGGTGTGGCTGTGCGGACACGTGGGAAGGTCGTCCGGTGTGTCCACCTCGAATGGGCTTTGGGGAATTAGAGCCTAGGTGTAAATATCATATTTTTGGCGTGTGTTGTTTTTCCACGTCGAGACGCAGCAGCGAGGACTCGACCGTCCGACGGATGCCAAAACGGCAATTGTTACACAAGCGTTCGGCCGTTCGTTCGTTCGTGGCATTTTATTATTAGCCCGATGTTTTGTGTGTGTGTTTGCAGAGTGCCGCCCACGTGCCGCGACGGTGGTGCCCAACTATCTAAGAATAAACAAACGGATCTCTCCGATCTCTTCGTTCGTTCGAACGCAAAGGGGACACAAACTTACTTGTCTTGTGTATCATTTGCCTGCAGTAGCCTTGTCTTTCGTTGCGTAACTTTTGAACCTCAGAAGAAAATACTGCTATAACAACAACAACAACCAAGCAATGAAAACAAGGCGCGAGATCCAATAAAAATAATTTCGCAAGTTTTCCTATGCCTCCAAGGTTTGGCTCTGTTTTGAGATTTTAGAAAGGGGTCCTCTCCTCTCTTCGCCACCTTTCCACCTCACCTAGTAGCGAAAACTTTCACCGCAACACGAAAATAAGGACGAACCTGCGCCTCCGGCCACCAATCGCAGATTTTAAAATATATTATTATTAATTTATCTATTCCTTCGTTTCATCTTCATCTAATTATTATCATCATCCTCAAACTTTCATTGATTCAGTTCATTTAGGAGCGGCAAAATAATAATATGAGCGTATAATGGATGTCCAATTATGCGACGGTAAAGTTCGCTTCCTGCCATAGCTTATTTACAAATAATGAACCGTATTAATTACCAGTTCCAATCGAGTTTGACGCACTCGCACTTATTTAATGGACTTTTCCGCAGATCCCTTGGCTGGCTGGCACCGCCTTCTATTCCGTTCCGTTATGACCGGTCTACTTACTAACACTCCAACCATAATAATAATTCATGATCCATCGAACAAAGCTCGAACCAATTTTATGCGAATATTTCTCTAAGGCAATTAACAGAGCACAGGTGCATTTCCAACCAACGTTTTCAATAAGGAAACCAGTTGATCAATTATTGTTTCTATACACTCAGTGCTTCTAATATACAGAGCATTATTCCACAAAAACAAACGATTCTTTTAATACTAATTCATTACAAAAAATTTCATCACTTACTTTCTTAAGGAAAGATACACAATTTTTATTTAGTAAACATATTTAATAAACAGTTTATGTTGTCTAGACTTTTAATATATTCACTTTCAATTCAACTTAAACCATAGATTTATATCATCCGAAGATATTCTATTCATAAGAAAACCTACGGTAGCATCAAACATTTATATTCAAAACACAACTAGATTTTAGTTTTTTTTGTAACAATAAAAGAAAACTTTTATGCCTCGTAAAAATCTCACTTTCTTTATTTCTTTACCGTAAAATAAAAAAAACTGACATCTTAGTCATTAAATGTCTAAATTGTTTGTCGAACTTTGCATCGAGCCTCCAAATAATAAAATGGCAAACATATCGTGCGAAGTGTTAACGACCTTAGATAACTCTGCCCGTTCATTATTTTAAACAATTATTCAGTGGGGTCGTTAAACCCGTCCGATTTTCACTGTTTAAAAGAAACAAACTCTTCTTTTTTATTAGTTTACGAGCATATTTGCATTTAAGCACTGCGTTGAATAATGGAAATTTGGTTTGTAGAAACGTGCATATTTGAAATATACATACTGAAAAAAGTTATAATTATATTAATACTACAATAATTCATTTGAGTCTAAAAAATCTGTTCTGGTCAAAATCCCGACAATCGAATTCCCGAAAACTAAAATCCACATATTTGATTGTCGGGATTTCCCTATGAAATATAATTATTACATAATTTATTAGTTACAATATTTCCAAATTAGATTTTTTTTCAGATGCAAATATTTTATGTAATGAATAATGTTTAATTTAAATTTGTTTATTTGTTTTTTGTATATGTAAATCAAATTTAGTGAGTGCGGACTAATTGAGGGCGTGTATGCAAAGTCCGACAAAAAAAACACACAGAGAGATTAACTTATGTAATTACAAAAAATGTCAAGTTAGTTAACCTTTGGACCAGTTTTTTTTCTCTGCAGTGTTTGTGTAACGGAATCCGTGGCTTTTCTTTTTTTTTTGGAGCGAAAAGACCTTCGTTTTCAACCTAAATAAACCGTATTTTCGTCGAAAGTCGGGTTTTCCGATGACTTCAAGAAAGTGATATCACTCGTTTTTGTTTTTGTTGTTGAAAGAGAATCTGAAGTTTTCAGGTGGAGAGGATTGTTTCGTTTACGACCTGTTGAAATATCTCGAGCCAAACGAATGCGTAGTGGCCTTAAGGTTTCGCAAAAGCCTCTCTCGAAATGGCGCACCGCTGCACCACACAGCCTTCCATCCATCTCTCTTCTGCGTACATTCTGCACGTTCAATGCAACCCAAGGACGTTTGCAAAATGTACACACAACGCACACACACAGCGCAATCGACAAACAGAGATTTGCAACAAGTCTCCTTCTCTTTCTTTCTCTTTGCATTTGTTGCGGGGAAAGGCAGCAGCAACAACAACAACAGAAATTAGTCGGATGGGAACCCGTGCTGCTCCTCTCTGACCATCGAGACTTTCACCCATTATAAATAAATAAGCAAAGGAGGAAGAAACTGGTCGTCGATGCGAATTAGAAATCTCTAAACTGCGCCATGCGAACGCATGAAAACAAGGAATCGTCCTTCTTCTCTCTCTCTTAATAGGTTTTCTTTTGTTTTGTTTTTAGGAACTCACCTTTTTCTTCCTGGGCATCTCGTACAGAAAGTCCATGCCAATTCCTTCGTCCGACGCGGAACTCGAGGACAGTATCGCCGCATTTGGTGAGGTCGTGTCCCTGGGTGGAGGAGACGGAGACAGTCTGCACGAAGAAGCCGAGCTGCTGCTCTCTGGGGAAGTTCCTATCCAAGACATATCTGCAAGGACATCTGCAAAAAAAACTTAAGATAATAACATAAATCTCTGCAGAACAAGATCCTAACTATACATTACAAATACAATAACAATCGATCTTATACTATTAAGACACTTTATATTTATCTATAATAACAATTATTAATACAAAAAAGACTTCATCAATGAATTAAATTGATGTAAACAAGAAACAGATTAAAATTAATGTGTAAAACATTTCCATTTTATCAATAACATAACATTGAATAGAAACATTATAGACTTAACATTCACTAATCAAATTGATATGACAAAATCTTAAAGTTAAATTAGTAAAATCAAAAGTGTTTTATAAAATTATCAAATTAATTATGAATTTGACTTTCAAATGAGAATTTCAATTCGAATGATTAATTCAAATAACAAGATCAAAATATTCAGTATTATACATCATAATAATAAGTAAAAAAAAGATAATTTTATTATACTGTTCATTCACAACCTGCCATCATCTCGGGCTATAAGTTGAATGCTTTTGTCAGACAGAAAAAAAAAGGAAATAAAAACAGAAAAACAGAAAAACTAATAAGATTTTCTTTATATTGAGTATGGAAAGATTTTGAACCTATTTAAAGAAAATTAATTGAATTTATCTCTGAAAAGTGACGGACGACCATGGGATAAGTTCAAGTGAATTCCATTCATCTTTAACAGGAGATACAAAATATATTGTGAAACGTATTACAATTAATATATTCAGCAAACAGCTGTTCCTAATTAATATTATGACAAAATTATCAGTATGATTTTTCATTAAAAAAAAATATAATTGTTTCAATTTCTTTAGATTTTTCAGAATGATCAGAAATTGCAAATTTCATTTACATTAGATTGTTGTTATAAAAAAGCTTCGTTCGCAAATCAACATACAATGTGAGTAGGAAGAAATGATTGTGGTATGGGTTCAGAAAAAGTACTTGAACTTATTGAACCCGATTCACAACAAATAATGAGTTGTTACACGCGCGTCGAAGGTTATACAAGATTCGACAAGATTTCGGTTGATCTATATGGTGAACCTAACCTAAACTTCTTTTGTTGAGCGTTTACAATAAAATGGCGTCTAACGTCGACCAATCAGAGCGCAAGACGCTTTTCACCCATTGGTTAGTTAAAATTTGGATACCAAATAACCAGAAATAATGTAGTAAATGAATTAACTATTATTATTAAAAAATGAATTAAGAAAATTACGAAATTATTGCTGATAAAAAATGAAACACAAAAAAAAATATAATTGGTTATAAAAATTAATTGTATGTTGTTCGGGGAGGAAAAAAAAAAACAAAATCCCCGGATTTAATTGGTCATAAATGAATTCCACAAAGCCGGGTAATTATCTGAAATGCGTCGATAATGATTGGTAATTACTATGACAATCTAACTGCGATGGAGAACAAACAGCAACAAAATAAAAGCGATCGGACAAAGGCGGAATTAATTGACGTATTGCGTGACGGAATGTCAAAAATCAGAATGACCAACTGTTGATTGATGATGGAATTGCCCATGTAAGTACCGAACATTGTTCCGCATTTTGCTGAATTGTGCATAAGCATTTAGATGCATTTCCACATGCTCGCAATTGACGTAGAGAGCAGCACGTGCGGATGACGGGATCGGCGGGCCACACTACGAACGTCGAAGGCCAAGAACGTGAAAACTGCAGCGAATTTCCATTGTCGTCGAGGGGGCGCGCACATTTTCCCGGCGCAACTTCGATTGGACTGCGCTGCTCACCCGCGCCACCCCCCTTCCTCATCGCAATCCGAAACACGTGCCGCGAATTCGCGACACACGCCGGCTTCGATCATTATTATTATCATCATCATCGTCATCATCATCATTATGATTATTATTATGTATCGGTTGTACACTTTTCGCGTTGCATTTCTGTGCGCGCGCTGCTTCGGTATGCATGCAATCGCCATAGCAACAATCGTGCGTGTCAACTTGTGTCAACTTTCCACCTAGACGTGTTTTATTTCACCTTCTCCTTTTTTTTCTCTCTAATTTCGTTTTTCTTGCTTCAACGTACTTTGGCCGGCTTTTTGTGGGTTCTCCGAATGTGGAACACGATGCGGGGGTGGCTCGTCACGATCCCACACTCTTTTTTTTGTATTCATTCTTTTTCGTTTCGTCGTTCTGCGTTTCTCGTCGCTCGCTTTTTTTTTAGGCGTCGAGACGTCTGGCCCAGTTTAGAAACAAAATTCAATAGAACAAACGCACCTTGCCTAGACATGATAAATGACGCAACTGTAACGACATTGTCTGGACACCATTCATATTTTTTTAACTACCCTTAAGTCATCTACATCAATCCCACATACCCTATTAATTAATTATTAATTTACATCGAAAAATGTAATATTTAGAGTAAAAAATTATAATTTATTTCCACAATTATACTAATTATATTATAAATTTCTCGCAATTCAGACAAAGCATTGTAGGTCAGGTACGAAACGGCAACGTATTTTGCACAAACGAAGTCCTTGGACTTGGCTCGCGTACATTTTTGCACGATAGATGATTCTAAAAATTGTAGAATACATTCAAGGATTTTGTAGGTCAACCATAAGACTGCAATTTATTTCATTATTTCTACGAGTTGAGAATTCATTATTTTCACAAGTTTCTGTCTTTTACATTTGAAACATTTTTGAATATTAATCGTTAGATTAATATTAGTTCTTAATGAATATTTGAAAGCGTTTTTAACTGTAACTCATTAGTATTACAAATCAAATATGTAAAAGTCCATTTAATCTAATCTTCAGACAAAAGCAAATTAACAAATTTAGTTGTAAGTAATCATATATTTGAAATCTTCCATAAATAAGTATTGAATGTACATTTTTGCAATCAAATATTATTTTTACTTAATTTAAAAAGAAAATCATTTTCATCATCACTATTCCTGAAATTTCTTTGACAAGTAAATTCTAAGTTTATTTACTTCTTTTTTTTGTAATAACATTTGGTAATTTATGAAGATCGATTGGAAGAGATTTAATATTAATTAACTATTTAATACTTACTGGTAGTAAGTGGAGAAGCTGAGAGACTCATGAGGACCAATGCAGCCCTGCACTCGTCCATTCGAGAATCATTAGGGCTTTCATCTTCGTCTTCATCGCTTGGTCGTCTTTTGCGAGATCTGTAATTAAGAATGATTTATGTAATGCATTGATCAATATGAACATCTTTACTATTATTGTTACGTACGTACGAAATTAATGAAAATAAAACAAATCGAGTTTAATGAAGAACAGTTTTTTTTAATTTGTATTTGATTGAAAGTTCAAATTTGATTGAAACTAACAGTAATTATTGCTAGAAAGTATACATAATAAGCAGTTTAATTTGAAATTTGATTATACGGTAGGCGTGTAATAGGAAATTGTAATGTAGAAGCGATTACAAACTGACGAGCGTAGAATTGTTTACACAGAATTGTGCGCTAAATGAGTTTATTACGTATTATGCCTTTAAAATGATAAGTAAACAACTGGAATCGAGTAGAATTAGTTGATACAATGGTTATCTAGTAAATGGATCAAAGTAACGGGGCAGCAATAAAACTGTCTAGAACCGGAAGAGAGCGACTTTAGCCGGAGGAATGAGAATGCAGGAACCGCAGCTGAAAATGTAGGTGGTGTTATAATATGGATGGATGGATGCTTTGGTTACTAGTATTTCTATTATGTTTTGCATCCGAAGGTTTGCCAACTGTGTAATTCCAATGCGGAAACGAAGCAATTGATGTAAATGGGTCGAATGCGTGTGTATGTATGTGCAACTATGATGAGACGGGAGGGCGGGGGAGGCAGAAAGCAGATCCATCTAATGGAATGTACAGGCGACAACCTCAACCTCAATAGCAGAAAATTGAGGTTACCACCAATTGCATCGGTGAGACAGGTGGATCCGTCGGTTGTCCTCGATAGTCGCTTATTTTTGGGGGTCGTACTAATGGGAAAACAAAAAACAGTTCTGTTGCTCTTCTATTATTTTTTATTTTTTGTTCTTCAACTACTACTACGATGGTTGAGCACAAAAGGAACTTTCACATTCCCTCGCCGCCTCCGACGCCGCAGCAGCAATCGACTCCACGTATATTCTCTCCTTTCTAAATCAAAAGCCGGAGATTCCATTGTGCGGTCTACATTTTACATATGCAATCCGTGACGTAAACCGTGGCAAAGAGAGAAACGATTACACGAGCTCGATTGTGAGGAGTTCGCCTCAATTGAAAGTGAATTGGCTGCAATAATAGCAACAGCTTTTGTCCTCGGATGAGGGCAGCGGCATCACTATTCCTTCAAATTCACCTCTTCAAATTTACAAATATTTTGTTTCTTCATTTTCTTTCCATTATCACCAGTCCCATGCTTATCAGAAGGCAAGAGAAAATATTCAAAAACCAGAAAACCGGAAGCGCCGCGGTTTTACTTTCAACCTGTTTACGTAGATTTCGCAGCATATTGTTCTCGCTGACTTGTAAATAAGTTTATCTGGATATTTCAACAATTCATACACGAAACGAAACGATCCACTTGCAGTTGGCGAAATACAATGGTTCTAAGGTAAACACCAGATAAGACTATCTAAAGGTCTCCATTTATATCCGACTCACTCACTCTATCTCAAACACACCTTCCACAGTGCAGCGCATATTCATTTCTTTTTGTGTTTCTTCGAAAACCGGATACGCCGATAATTCCACGGACGAACGAAACATTCGGGGCCGATGGTGATTAAGAAAATCGCTTTTTAATTGCCGAATCGTAGATAAACGAAAATAGCAAGGATCGAAAGGAAAACAAAAAATAGAAAGAAAGACGAGTAATTACGGACGTCGTCTGGAATGTGAACTGATAAGCCGTAGCTGGAACCTTGGGGTATACCCGAAGATTTTAGTTTTAATTTTCTTCATCGACTGTAGAAGGAATGAAGAAATAAACAACGCCATAGGTCATGGTACGCAAATGAATATTCAAATTCTAGCTCCTATGATAGTACGTAAACACGCAAACAGTCGGAGAACTGGACGGAAAAAGAAAGCGAAATCCGAGCCTTCGCAAGGCCGCTGTCTCTCTGTGCTATGCTTCTACTATCTTTCTTTCTATGTTTTTGTTGTTGGTAATCCATTTTCTAAATCGTGGGTGCCACGTTAGAAGATGCAGCAATAATACAGACACTGGTTCGAGAGTACGTACTTCACGTGACCTTCCTACGAGCGGTTTCCAACATTTACCATAAACCACATGTTCACTGTTTATTGGTAAAGAACTATATAGATTACTACTCTTGATCTAATCTATTAACCGCGTAAATTGTTTGCAAACATTCGCGTTCATTCGATATATGTGATTAATAATATTCGGTCCGGTAATTAAAAAAATAAAAAACAAAACAATTTATGTGCATTTTGTACGCGTTGATACTAATTTGTCTGATGAAGTCAGATATAATAAATTTGTTTGTACTTATTATAGATCAGAGGTTTCCAAACTTTTTTGTGTCGTAGACCCATTGCCATGGTTTTCGGTTTTGGGTAGACCCTCTACTTACCTCGTATTGATTTTTTTGTAAATTTCTAACTGTAGTGAAGTTTAGTGTTAAAAACTTAAAGTAAAAACACATGTTAAGTTTTATACGTTTATTTATTGAATTTAAATTAAAACTACTCGAAATAAAATTTTGTATCTGTTTTATAAAATGCACGTAACATAAAGTAAACATAAAATAAACTAAGCAATAAGTAAATGTTTTTAGTGAGAAGGATGAACCTTATGCTTGAATAATAAATTATCAACATTTGGCGGCAATTTTGTAACAAGATGATACTGGTATATCATTATGTGCAGGATTTTACAAGTTCAAAATATATTGCGACTACATAGCGAATGCCTACATCCTACAACTTACACAATTTTATAAACATATATAATATTTTTTTTACTTCATAGGTACTTATATAAATAATGTATATGTCTTTTTATTATAAGATAATATAATGTAAGTAAATAGGTACTATCAGTTGAGATCCACTATCGTGGACCCCCAAAGTCATAGAGCCCTGGGGGTCGATATAGACCACTTTGGGAATCACTGATATAGATAATTCGCATTTGTAAACATGTGCGTTAGTGAATGTCATATAAAAAGAGTAGCCATTTTAAATTTCATCATTCTGTCCTGTCAAAATTATTACAGTTAACATAACCTGAATAGAGGCAGATCACAAAACTACTACTGTTAAATAGTAAATTTCGTAACATTTTCATTGAAAACTGACATAACCTGAACAGAAACAAAATGTCATATGTTATTCATTTTCTACTAACTGTTAGTACATTTTCAATTACTGAATATAAATACACAAAACTACTATTGTTAAAAAGTAAATTTCGTAACATTTTCATTGAAAACTGACATAACCTGAACAGAAACAAAATGTCATATGGTATTCATTTTCTACTAACTGTTAGTACATTTTCAATTACTGAATATAAATAGATTAAAGTACTACTAGCTGTTAAACTTTGCTTTCTATAAACACCGTTTTTTTCATGACATTCCCATTAAAAAACTGATATTTGAGGTAATGTCTAATAAATATAATGGCAGTGGATATAATTTAAGACACATTGTAGTTGTATACATTATTCAAGTTGGTTTAAACAACTCAATAAAATGTAAATGGGTGTTTTTAAAATAGTTTAAATGCAAACCCGTGGCGTTAATTATAGATTGAAGTGTAATTGTCACCTGTCACCATAGGTAATATAGGATTTGTGTTTATCGACATGTCAATTACTAATGATATTAAGTCTAATTTCGACTACTGATGAGTGCTAAATACTATACTTGAGATGAATTTGAAGGTGTTTAGTACCTTTTTGAGCGTTGTCTAAAAATAAACTATTGTAAGAGTTACGTGAATGATCCATTCAATGTGCTGATATTTCCATTGCCGTAGAGAGAGAAAATGGTCGTGAACGAACAAAATAGTCGAAGGTCGGAAGGTGACAAAGGTTTTTTTAGCGTTGTCCATTTGACTGCTGTCGGCCTCGGGGCAGCAACAGCAAAACAAGCGATGGAAATGTCGGAAAATAGTCGTGTGATTCAGTTAGCAGGTTACACTTTAAATTGGCCCGAAATTAAAGCCAAATCACGTGCGGCACGTGTTTCAACTTGAGTCGGTGGTGATGAGGTGACGTCAAGCGAAGGTAGAGGTGATTTCAAGATTGATTGGATGGATGCAGGTGGTATGGCATCATGGGTTCTAACGGAACTGACCTAAAGTCTGCAGTCAGTGATCTTACCGATGTGTATTTGTGTTTTGCTGGATGGGTACGTCGATGGATTGCGAGGCAGCTCTTTTGCGATCGCAGGACATGTCCGCGAGGCGAGCGAAATCGGTGTCCTGATGGGAGAGTCGGGCCGATTTCCTGGACTCCAGCAGTCTGACCTCCTCCAAACGCTTCTGGACTTCGAAAGCAATCTGCAAAATCAAGTAAAAACGATCCGGTTAATCCAAGCAGTCCAACAAAATAGTTACATAGTTAAACCAGATATATTTGTCGCCCTAATTCCGTCTCCAAAATTTATTTCTGAATTACGAAATACAGGTTACACAGGATTAATCGAAGCATGTAAATCGACTAAATATAAACATGCTCTTTCCCCACAGAAAATAAAAGAAGTGTGTATCCGCATCGGATGGATTAGTCAGAGAAGAGAGGCAGCAAGTAGGCATCGCCTAACCATGGATGAGCGCTATTTCGGGATGGCCGGTTGCCGGCCGGCTTTTCCCGCCGCTTCCCCGCACCTCTCTCTCACGCTCCTTTTCCATCATACGAAATTGCGGTTGCGTGGTATGAAAATCCTACATTTGTTTGTTTGAAAAATTCACGGCGTAGCAGCAGCAGCAACCTTGGAAATCTCGACGGCCGGCTACGTCACCGTGTAGCACAGACACACGCGTTTATATAGTCATCAGCTGGGGCTTCGCGCTTCGTTCAATATAAATATACCACCACCACTCCCAGATCGCCTCCGGTTGCGTAATTCGCCGCTATCGTACCGGCACAAACACACGCACACTAATTACCAAAAAAAAAACTACATTATTCTTAATGCAATCAGTCAAAACAATATTTTTCAAATCATCATCATGATCACGCCTCATCTCTACGCATTGTTATTGTTTATATTCTGCACGCATATCTGGTAGTTAATTTCATGCAAACAATTCTCTTGCGCATTTAAATCTCGCTGTAAACAGAGTTTGATCAGTGTTTCAAGCGTTGATCCAGAAATGTTAGATAACAATGGGAAACACGCTTCTTTTGTGGAACGGACATTGTGTGTACGCGTTTACGTTCGTGTTTCATTAAAACCACTGAGTCACCACTCCTCCGGTTTGTAAACGTTCTCGGAAGAAGAGAGGACATGATTGACTGTTGTTATTCTTTCGTCTGAATTTACGCGAACCAAAACGTAAATAAAAGTCAGGAACGTGTTGACTTTTCTTCCTTGCCGTAGTCTTAACAAACATATCACTGTTTTGTTTACCAGCTCAGTATTATTCTTCAATGATTTTACATTGATTTAAATGAACAATTGTAGAATTCTAAATTGATTCATAATTTGGTTAATGCCAATCTTCATTCTAATACAAATTTTAAATAAATATACAAGTAAATACAAATAATTTGTAGAAGTTGTAGGTGCGTGTTCAAAACACAAATATTTTTGCTTCATATTTATATAATTTTTTTTTAGCAAGTATATATAAAAATAGCTTATGATAATATAACGGTGATCTTAGCATTAGTATTCGAATCAACAGCGTTTCATTCTATTCCCAACGTAATATGTTGAAAGGTCCTCAACAACAACACGACTTGGACGAAAGCCAAGTAGTAAAATGTGACAGATGTCTTGTTTTCGCAGGAATACACTGTATATTACAAAATATATAATTTCTTTGCGATATTTTTACTTAAATCATGTTGTAATAAGCAAGAGATAAACATATTTTTTTTTAAATAGGTTAGATATTTATAATGAGTCCTGAGAAAACGACAAGATTGTACAATAAATTAATTAAAAATTAGTTTTTTGATGTTACCAATAAAAAAATGGTGAAAGTGCAATAATTAGAACTAAAAGAAGGATATCCTATATTTCACCTAAATACCAAACAATTAATTATTTCTTAATTAGGTCGATTGTCTCAAAATTAAAAAAAAGATACAATTAGAAACTATTCAAATATGTTTATTGATTAACAATTCTTTAGATTAAACTAATGATTCTAAAATAAATACCAGAAGAAATTAAAATTATTTACCAATTTTGGAGTATATATTTTGGTAATTACAAATAAGTTATTAAGGTTTCGACTCAACAAATTTCGGAGCATAGATACTGAAACATCTGGAAAAGCGATAAGTGTTGGGCATTTGCTTATAATGTGATTATTTCATTTGGAATGTTCGTTTTTCTTTGACCCCTTTATGAAAACGTATTTTGATGCGTTCAATAAAGTAAATTGGCTGAGATAACTCTTGATCTTCAGCAAATATTGTACTTTTTTTTTTGTTTTGTTTGTTAAAAAAAAAGACGAGACAATCCGGTTTCAGTTTTCCATGATTAGTGTAATTGTGAGTTATGTAAGTGTTCTTTCGATGCGTAAACAAGAGTTGAGGCAGTGAGGAAGGACTTTGGCGAAGATAATCTGCGTTCCATTCGTATGCTAACATCAAAAACAAACAGTTTAGCAATAAACATATCTTCGGTATTCCAGGCAGATAGAGTGTGGGTTCGATAGTATTTCGCGGAGGCACACGCGCGCCGTGTAAATAATTATCGTGTTTGTCGGTTGCCACGTGTCGTTGTCAGGGTTTTGTTGCTCCTTTACTCCCGCATTGTAATGTTTTGTTTGTTACTATTTTCTTCATTCATTTATTTATTTGTACTTCTTTTTTTTTTCACGCGATTTTGCGCCCAAGCCCTCTCCTTTCCTTTCCGATTACACTGTATTTATGTGTTAAAAAGTCCTTGGCTCGTGTAAACTTGTTTTATTTATAAGACGGAACAGAGCACAACAAATGTCCGTACCGATAGAATGTGAGTGTGTATGAGAAAGAGAGATACAGAGTAGGAGAGAACGCGGCATCCGCGTGCCGACCTTAAGGCCCGTTTCGCGCATAAATAAATACATGGAAATAATTCTCATTTGCTTGTACATTAGACAGAAGCAAAATAAATGTAAGCAATGCTAGAAGACAACAATAAGCTAACCATACAACGCGTCCATTTGAGTAGATATTGCCAAACCCAGAAAAATGAAGATTTTTAAAATACTTCGTCCATCCATATAAATTTTGCTTTGCAAACTTATCTAGTTTCTCTATTTAATAATAGCTGAACAAAGTGATTACGAACAATCCTTCCAATCTATTTATAAATGATGACGTTTCATGCATTTCGAACTGAAATCTGGTGAATGAAAAATTACTAGCCTTGGTCAGATGTACTCGAATTTCATCTCCTTTTATTATTAATGTACCTACTAATATACTCATATAAATCCCTTATTATAAACTACATGTAAATTCATTATTTATTACCTAAACACCTTTGACAACTTTTTATTATCTCTCAAACTAATGCTTCTATGAAATGAACGGTAGGTTCAAATTAAAATGTATTCTCTAATTAACTTACGACTTACTCCTCATACATAGATAATTCCCTCATTATACATCTCTTAAATTACATGCGAAACCTTCGACAACTACATTTTTATTCATACTACTTATCAACGTTGATATTAACTTTATCATCATTTTTCCTGTCAAGCGATGAGCACCGACCAATGGATTTCCCCTCTCACAGACCGTTAATTTTCGTTTCCACCATCCACTTTCTTAACAAAAATGCGCGATTTACCATGACGGCATAATTTATAGATAACCACGGTCTGTTCACGCAACGAAATGTCAGGGTTTCCCCTCGAATTCCAACATTTAATGTGTTGAAATGATTAACAACGATAATAACTATCACCATTAAACCATACTCTTCATAATTTGATTAACTTTAATGTTAAGCTATTATCTTTTTAAAAAAAAAAATAACATCAACTTTTCCGGTTTCATTTTAAACATTTGCATAATTATTCTATCGGGCTTAAGAATAAAAAGCCGATACATCATGGTTTTAGAACTTTCTAAATTGCACAACAGATGGTGCTTTTCTATCTTTATTTATATATTCCTTATTAATCTTCGATTCCTGTTATTTTCGTTCGTCGTTGCATCTGACTCTCTAATATCAGAAGGCATGACGACGGACAATGAAATTAAGGACACTGATAGTTGCGTAAAACGCATTAATCTTGTAGATTCGTTTCTAAAGATTAGGTCTCAATCTCTGTTATTTCGGTTTGAATAAATATTTTAGAGCTTTGTTTAATTAATGATAAACGTATATTTGGTAACTGTAACTGAAGACAGCAATATATCATTGCTATACTAAGAAAATTATTATATTTATAAACTAATCATTTTACTTGGTGCGTAGTACAGTTTGACGAGTAAAGCAAATATAAATATATGAAGATATATATATATATTTGGGAATTATACTGACATAGACATATAACTCTTTGAAATCAAGTGAAATCTATATAGAAATTGAACGAAATAAAGTCAGGTAAAGAACGTTACCTCGCGGAACTCCCAATTATTATCGTTGTTTTGCGAATATTTCTTTATGCATTCAACTGTAGATAATTGAGATATTTTAAAATTTGTATGCAATCGATTGCAGCAATCAATCCCATGCTCGATTTGCACTTGGATTGCAGTGAGCATGATTAAAGTGTGAGACATAAAACGCGATTATATTTAGATCGAGTTTATTTTATTTTTTTTTCTCTCTCTCAAATTTGTTTGTACCGAGTGAGTTGCGAAAAGTTGCCGTTATCAGGGGCATCGGTATAGTAAATATTTTTTCTGCGTCCCAAGTCTTGCCATTGCCGAGGCTTATCTATCCGTCCGTCCTGTCTTATCGGCCAATTATCCAAAACCAAATACTTATGAGTTTCTATAAATACAGACGTTATGAAAGAGAGGGATCGGAATAGCCTGCATGGCGTCCTCGAAAGTACTAATCACAACAACAACAAAAAAAAAGCAACCAACACATGCACCTTGGGGGACCAACCGTTCCGATCTTCGGGGTCCGCACTTTCCAAATTGTGACACCGTCTCGAAAATTGGTCTTAGATTGGTTACGGAGAAATCGCACAAAACCTATTATTAAGAGCCGGTTCGATTACGTAGTTATTTTTACTTATTATATATTTTTTTTTTGTATCTCTCTTTCTCTTTCCTCGTCTCCCGTTAGATGAATTCGGCAATTTTCGCGCTCGTCGTATTATATATATTTTTTTTCGGCAATTATTTTTGCGGGAGTCGGGCGCAAAAT